ATTTTTCTGTCCACGGTTTGTTATATATAGTAAACTTCCTGAATATGTTGACTCATTTTTGGTACTTTGTGAAAATAATCGAACAGAATTCCTACCCCTCCTCCCCTTCCCATTAGAAGGTTTGAATTAAGCGAGCACTGAAATAACATTTATTTTTCTTAGAATCCAAGAGTGTTGTGTATAAATATTGTTTCTCTCTAGGAGATTACTTTTTCTTGTTAGTCAGTGTGAAAGGCGATGAATCACCGTTACGAAAAAAGGAGAATACTATTAGTCACCATACGTTTCTCATTCGGTACAAAGAAACCGACGCGATTATTGGCCACTTTATTTTGAGGACTCGGTCGGGCTTGACTGCGACTTGGTAGCTCTCCAAAAAACACATTGATACGTGTTATCTTCCACACGTGCCATTTATTATTTCTCGACAACGGCTGACGTCTCATTTTTCGTCTAGTCAGGATGATTTTACAATCTTTCAACGCTTCATTCTGGACCAGTTGCCTAACAATACAGATCAATGGGAAACAAACATATTTTTCATCAATTGTTAAACAGCAAATTCGTTCATAAACAGCTCGCCCGACTATTTCTCCTGACACTATTATTTAAGAGCTAAAGAAATTCTATTCTGATAATACTACACAAAACCACATCAAATTTTTATGGAAGGCTTGATTTTCAAAAGAGTTCGCTTTGAAAGTTGGTCTCCGGGGATCAATAGCAAGTAATTTGCTCGAGAGTTATAGCAACATCGTTCATAAACTAACGACTCGTCTTGAATGAAAACAACCTGCAATTTCTCTTGGCTCTATTATTTCAAATCTAGAATAATCTAAAAATTTTTTAATAAAAAGCACGTCAGAAATGCGAAACAAAATCCTTCTACAAGGCTTCCGAAAGAGATCACTTTCGAAGTTGGTGTTCAAATCATATTCGTCATAAGTAGAAATGGCCAGCAATAGTCAGACGCACTGTCACATAATTGACAACGCAACTTGCAGCAATTCAAACTATGATGTCTCTACAAAATTGTGAACAAATTTTGCTTCATAATTATAATAACAACAATAAATTTGAAGAAAAGCAGAAGATTTATAGAATAGCGATCTCGCGATTGCTGTCGTTGCTAACATAAGTCCTAAGCGTTTTGCATCGGTGGGAAATTCAAGATTACATACTCAGTGAAATTTCCGCGGCCGGAAACAAACTGAAATTGCCAGGTCGACGAATCGGGTCTGACCGGTTTAGGCACTTTGTCGCTCAGTTTTCAATTTCGCGAGGGAAAAAAAGTACTTGACTAGTTATACCCGGGCACAATAGATGTTTATCTATGTTTATTAAAAGCAGCGCGGAGCTCGCAGCGTTAAACTTCTTGTTTGTATCCCACGTCGCCGTCCGTCCTCGTTACGCACAAAAAAACACTGGGATCACGAGAAGATAAAAGTTAGTATCGCGAGGCGGATACAGGAATTAGAAAAAAAATGTGAGAAACCTGCAACAAAGTTCGACGTTTCCACCTGATAAACAACAAGGGAAATTAGGTCGATAATGTGCGTTCAGCTGGTCATTAAGTCCGTTTCCTTATCAATTGTTCTGCTAATTGGAAACTTTGCCGATTCGCATGAGGGAGTTCAGAATTTAACGCTCGCTGGAACATTATGCAATCTTTCGGAAAGAAAGTTTAGAAAGTAAAAGAAGAACTAAAAATTCGCTGTCTTATGTGGAAGGCGTCAGTACTTTTATCTGATTTCGATGGCCAACGAACTATGGATTTTAAGCATCTGTAAAAGAAGTAGGTTCTGACTTGAAAGAATAAAACGATGAATAAAAATTATTGACCTCTCGCCCTATTGACATCGTGTCAGACTAGAGTTCGAACATAATTTACTAACTGCCAATGTTATTTGATTTTTCTGTTGTTGATGTCTGAAAATTAATATTAAGAAAGGAGAATTATAATAAAAGATGTGCTAATCAACATATAATAGCTCACGATAGTTTTCGAACAATATTTCGACCAAATCACTTGAATTTTTTTGAGCTGCTGGAAGGACTAGCACACTAAACAATGTCTACAAAATTAAAAAAAAACTTGTTCGGAATGTCAAGCGAAAATAAAACACGTGTGTTGCAATTTTTGTAACAAATTGTTTGGACATTGTCTAAAGTTATACCATTTTGAAAATTGTTCGAACACCTTCGTGAGCCACTGTAGCTGTGAAGGTGTTAAAGATCTGCCTCTTGGGAGATGTTAATCAAAGTTGATTATCAGCCAAGTGCATTTGATCCTCGAAGTTTATTGAACGCAGTCAAAGCAAACGTTCTGACGTAAACGTATAAGAATTTAGTGTATGACATATTTTCACTTGTCGAATTTCAATTGTCGCACCAGCATGTATTGAAACTGGAAGGGATTGTGCTGAGGTCAGAAAATGAAATTGGAAAGGAGCGAAACTTTGACACGGGAAAATTCTTTCGGAAGAAATGTTATTCACGCATGATCGAAGACGGCGTGGACACAAAGCAAGGCGAATTGAAAATTGAAGATGGACGCGTTCGACGGTGAATTTATGAAAATTTTCATGAGCCATGAAAGAGACGACGATTGAAATAGAGATCGATTAAAGGGACGCCGAGGTGTTATTGAAGTTCGCGCTTCTAATTGACAGTATACCACCGACGAGCCTCCCGCACTATGGATTTTCAGTGTCTTCCGTACCGGTTCTATTCAGCCGAGCTTTTCATCGCGATAGGATTTATATTTTCCTACAAATTCCTGTTGACCTTGAACAGAAAGCATCAAATACTCTATAATTAGAAGAAATTACTAAATAGAATATTTCTCATTTAACTTGCACATATGATACAGATTGTTACATTAATTATATATTTTGTTTGTAGTCTTACTATTGATTTTGCATTTCCTTTTTGGGTCAGTTTTTGAAGCAGTCTGTATGTGCCTCTTATACAATATTACATGAATTATGCATCAGAGTGACGTACAAGTTTCGAATCTTTTTTCCGCTCTTTAACAGGGAAACTCTGTTCAAATAAATCTCTTGATTAACACTTCGTAAATGACTACATTCTAAATAGAAGATTCTAATAACTTAGCTACATGAATTGCTGTGTGCAAAAATGCTGCACCGACAGTCCCTGAATACGAATTATTATTCTCAAACAAAACTAAGCATCAAAAGGCAAGACACTTTCATAAAAACTACAAAGTACTATGGCCCGTTTTCGTGAAAAGAAAAGAACTAAAGACACATATGCAGTCACAATGGTTGTTTATTCCACTTCTGTTTCTCATATACTACAGGTAAGCCTGGAAATATTGAAGCGTAGTGGACGATTGTTATGACGAACGCTGTACCCTGCAACGATGAAAAGATAAGGATTCCGGATCGTATCGATTATTGGACACGTATATTAAATTGCGATACGTGAAATATCCGAATCTTAACCGTTCGTGCTCAAGTGGCGATTTTGAAGCACCATTAAAAATTGAAAACGATTTTCATATTGCTAATGTTTGTTATTGAAGATCGGTGCATGAAGAAGGATGACCTTTAGTCACTTGACCAAAGTGCAAAGAGTTAAAATATTTTGTCGGTGTACTCCCTACATCCATCTTCACGGTTACACCAAGACGATTCTCCTTAAACCCAAGTCTCTCTAAACCCCTTAAAGTCCCCTTAAATCCAAGTCTGAACAAGAAGTTCATAAAGTGAAAAGATGGAACAAATTCTTTCCTTACGAAGAAATGATGGATCAATAAAACGTTTTACTTTAAATCCTAGCAACGAAAGGGAGCAGGACTTGAATAATACATACAACAAATACGGTAGCCTAAAGTTACACAAGCTCGCAAAGGATCACTGTCATCTTTCAATTACTGCTAACGATGATCTGCTTCATAAAGAAATAGTGTTCACAATCATCGTCCTATACGCAACCGTGCAAACTATTCAGAACAATTGAGAAATGGTGCAATTAAACTTTCGTATACAATTGTGGCATTATTCATAAACATCACTTTGTGACGTAGTCTATCTAACTGCTGTTTTTCAATCGCTGTCAGCGCAGCTACCCCGAATAAAGAAGCAGTGCCAATGAATACCTCATTTAATATGTATTATTCAACCATGTTCCCGAATATAACTTTACTACCCATTTAAAACAGCTGACAGACATTACACTTGGTTTTACATATCATGCAATTGTAGCATATTCATAAATACAATCTGGATCAGCGAAACAGGCAACCATAAATATCTACAAAAGCCAATGATGAGTCTGGTTTAGACCGCAAAGGGGTTACGTTTACGCTGGAGTAACGAGCAGAGCGTATATAATGTTTATACAGCTACGTAAAACATATTTTTAATAAAAAAAACCTTAGTACCGATTAAAACGATTGATTTCACGTGTCTTATAAAATTAATGAAATTATAAAGATCCTTCTATAGAAATTGATTGAATAGATTTCTTAATTCGAGCATACATTATAATAAAAGTATGGCGATTCTTATAGAGCAACATAGATCAGTCACTTTTAATGCTCGGTCGATTTAGCGTTACTACTTCTGAATGTATGAGAACATCAACGGACTGAAATCGCGCTATTAGCGCATTCTAAACAGGCGAAAGAGACCTTTCTGCAGCTTTTATCGCCGCTTTAAACGATACTCCAACATCTTTCATCGCAGTTCCAACGTAAATATGTCCTAAGTAGTAATAGCATCTTTACAGTCGCCTCTGGGGACAGCCGGCGCGCAGCGATGTTGCACGTCTGCAGAGCCTCTTCTTTCGCAAGGCGGGCTATAGTCGAGGACTATAAGGGGCCGGTCACGTCTACCGCGACGCGTACGGTGTTGCGGTAGCTGCAGGCGCGTCATGGCGCGGCGTCGCGACGCCGAGCGTCATTGGCGCGCGGCGTGCGCGCGCGATTCGCTCGATACTCGCTGCGGCAAAGCCCGTCCGGTCCCGCTGGTAGCGAGTAAGCCGGGTGCCGCGAGCAGGGTGGTGGGAGCAGCCTCTGTTTTATTTCTGTCTCGATGCTTGTCTGCACCGGGGCCAGGAACGGACGAGATCTCGTCGGTTCTCCAACGTCTGCTTAGTCAGTTGCTCGGGGCGGTTTTCTCGTCGGGCCACGAAAGTGTCCTCCTCGTTTCGGCCACGATGGAGGACAGCTACACGGTGCACAGACGCCGGAAGGCGGCGGCGAGAAAGCGCGAGAAGACGCCGGACCCGTCGACGAGGAACCAGCTGGTGGAGACCACGGATGATGAAGAGGACGCCAGGCGCGCCAGAATGGAGAAGATGGCGGATGACGCCGAGCAAGAGGAGCAAGACAAGCAAGAGAAGCAAGAGCTGATCAAGGAAGATGAACGACGCGAGGAAGATAGGAAGGAGGAGGAACTGAAGAAGCTGAAGGACGAGAAGAAGCGGGACCTGGAGAAGGAGAAGAGTCCTGCGAGGCCGCAAGCGCGCGAGAGTGTCGAAGAGTCCCGGCCGGTAAAGAAGGAGGAAGCTCCAGAGCTGCCGGTGCCAGAGAAACATCAGGAGGACCTACCGAGGACCAAGGAGGTTGATGCTGACACAGACCAACCTGTGGAGCCGAGGAAGGTGGAGAGAAGGCTGAAGAAAAAGTCAAGGGAGAGGGCGGAGCGGCACGAGCACAGCACCGACTCCAGCGACTTGGACGACCAGCTGGAGAAGCATTCGAGGAGGACCAAGTCGCCGGAAGCCGGTAAGATCAGAGTGAAGAAGACCAGTGCCAGGAAGGTCGCCAGCGAACAGGCTGACGCGAAGAAAGATACAATTGAGAAACCGCCCAGAGAAAAGAGATCGAGTAAACAGAAGGTTGAAGAGGCGGAGGGTCAGCCCAAGCAGGAGCAGAGGCGATCCAGAGGATACAGTCAGACCGACGACACCGACGAGGACTCGAAAATGAAGAAAAGCGAGACGTTCCCTGTGCAGGCGAAAGAAGTGGTCATCAAGAGGTCCGCGACGGACTTAAAGAAGCAGATCATACCTCTGAGCAACGATTCACTGATCGAGGACTTCGCCAAGGCTCAGAGGGAGTACCTGAAGAGAGAGCAGAGCATCCTCGACCCTGACACGCCGGACGTGTTCGAGGATGCTCAAGATGAGACCATAATGAGACGCAGGAAGTTCAGTGTGCCCTTGAGTGAGAGCGAACAAAAAAAGATAGAAGAATCGATAGAGAAGATGGTGATTCCTGAAGAGAAAAAGTCCTGGTACTCCTGGGTGCCTTTCTTCGGGAGGAAAAAGAAAGAAGAGAAGCCGGAGGACTCGATGGACTCCATTCCTGAAGACTTAGAGCCTCCAGTGTCTTCCGAGCCAATCGCTCCAGAATTAAGACCTGAAGAGGAGGTCACAGGGAAGGTGACCTTCATGGACTTCCTCAGGGCTCTCGGAGACGTGGTGTCCGAGTTTAAGGCGTTCGTCGCCCAGAATCCAACCGAGGTTCAGATCATGAGAGACTTGAGAAGCCGGTGTCTGTCGCAGCTGCTCCTCGTGATCATCTACTGCGGTCTCGGCGCTTTCGTCTTCCGATTCACTGAAGGCGCGTTCGAGGCGTTCTACAAGTGTGGAGTAAAGAGAGTGAAGAGGGACTTTCTGGACAGTTTGTGGAGCTACAGCCACAACATGAGGGAGGACGACTGGAAGAGCATGGCCAGGAAGAAGCTCATGGAGTTCGAGGAACAGCTGCACGCTGCCCATGAAGCCGGCGTGCAGTCTTATAGCGGGCAAAAGAGCTGGACTTTCCTGAACGCTGTCGTGTACTGTCTGACGGTGATCACGACTATCGGTGAGAAATTGGTCTGGGTTAGGTCTTTGTAGTCAGTGAAAGTCGATTTCTATATTCACGTTTCTTGAACGTATTGTGACAATATAGTATATTGTGTAAGTTCGTGCCTCCCCTTTCGTTAAAGTAAACGATAGAAAATATGACGAGTTACAAAATGGTAAAAATGGTACCGCTCTTAATTTAATATATGCTATTAACTTTGTGTCTGTTAATTTGTTAAAGTAGCCGAGTTCTAAAATTCTAAAGTTCTACAAATGGTACTGCCTTGTTTCCTCAGCGCAGAAAGCTACCCGTGTCAACTCCGAACTTAGAGCTGATAGCACTAAAAGGCTAGATAAAAAGCATCCAGCTTTTAGGGAACGGGGGCAGATATGGCCGAGCGATATGTTCGCCGTAAAAACCGTTTACGAGTCTGTTATTGATTTTCTAAAGGGAGGAACACAGCCGTGGTACCAGTGTGTGGTACCGTTGTCGAAATTGAATGCGCACGCGTGTGGAACGCGAGGGAAAATCAGCCGAATATCGGATGTCGGGGAAAAATCATAATAGTCCGAAAAGCGTTTTGTTTTTCCCACGATTGTTTACTTCTTCGATGCGGCACCATTGACTTCTGTTATTGGTCTCTGCGATTCAAACGAGGAAAGAACATTTTCACTCACAACATTGTCACCGCGTAAAACAATAATTCGTAAAAATAATATTTTCACAATGTTAATCTTTGCAAGACAATAATTCGTAAAAATAACATTTTCACAATGTTAATCTTTGCAAGACAATAATTAGTGAAAATAACATTTACATTAGTTACTGCAAGAAAATAATTAATGCAAAATAAATTTATACAATATTAGTCTCTGACAGACAATAATTAATGAAAAGAAGATTTACGTATCAAGAAGTAGAGCGACAAATATTGTAAAATAATTATAAACATCATAAAATCATACGTAAGTTAAATTGGTACATAAGTGAGACGATACAATAATATCGCAACATCGTTAAAACGGGACGAAAATTAAATTGCTAAATAGATTAGATAATCAAATATTGTGAAATGAACGATGCATCAATTGGCGGTATTAAAAAAGTAAACACAGACGTAAACTCCATACATATAATTAGCAAGTCAAATATTTTGTTCAATACCCGAATTTAATTTCCCCGAAGCGGATTGTATAATATCACGCAATCGATTGAAAACGAAAGCAGAATGCGAACCGGACAACGGATCAAAGGTTCACAGCGATTAATTGGCTTTGGATTCATCGTTCTAATGAGAATCACTCGCATGTCCGAGCCGATGGAATTCTTTTGATCAATGGTCACGCGGATGCATTCTGTCACCGCAAAGTAGACGCGGTTGATTCACGAGAAAATAATGACCAAACTGTTTCGCGAAAGCGGCTAAAATTAGATCGCGTGCCTAACGCTTTTCTGTTTAACAGCCCAAAATTAAAATGACCTCTCGCCGGAAAAATTCTAGAGAAATTCTTTGCTGTATGTTACAGGATACGGTCACATTTCGCCGAGTACGAACACTGGTAGAGCGATCACGATTGTGTATGCCATCTTCGGAATACCGATGTTCCTGATCATCCTGGCTGACTTCGGTAAACTGTTCACCAGGGGCATCAAGTTTCTATGGGCGTTCGTCAGGAGATTGTACTATACGGGAAGCTGCCGGAAAGTTCGGGGTACCGTACCTGTTCAGGTAAGTCTCTGATCGTTTGAATTATTAAAGCGCAGGGACTAAAGACTTTCATAATAAATAGCTCACTGGCGATAGCAATTTCCTCTGTGGACCAATAAGTATCAACTTTCTGCTCTACAGGAAGTGATGAAAGGCGTCCAACTGGTCTATGACCTAGCGACCTTCAAGAGGCCGTCGCAGATAAACCCCGAAGACATCGAGGAGATGCAGAAACAAGCGCAACAACCGCAAACAGTCTTGAACCTGGACGCAAACGCACCGGACACACCGGGAACACCGGCCATGTCGACTTTCGCCATCGACGACGAGTTCAATCTACCGATCTCGGTGGCCATCTTCATCCTCTTAGGCTACATCTTCATCGGTGCCACCCTGTTCTGCCTGTCGGAGGGCTGGGGTTTCTTCGAGAGCTTCTACTTCGTCTTCATCTCCATGAGCACAATCGGCTTCGGCGATTACGTGCCAAAGGTGATCAGTTTTCTCGATCATAACTTTTTTCAATAACTTTTTAACTTCTTTTTTTTTTAATCACGTGTCTTGAATCTACGATCGATTGGCTACCGTAGATCCTGCTGGGTTAGGTCATTTAGAGTTGAATCGATTGAACGAACTTCGAGTCTCTAGTTTGCCGCAAAAGCGTTCATTATTGCTGAAAAGACTGCTAAATACTTTTTCATATGCTATGGAGTGTCTGAATATTTTTACTCAAAACTTTGTTGGACTTGTTCTCATGATAAAACTAGCTTCTGTAATCCCGTTTACACAATGAACGGGTTACTTTACAATTTTTGTAATGCAGTTAACAATCGGATAGGCGTTTTTCGCGGCAAACTGTGCATTCATCGGAACGAACTTCAACTTTGATTTGCGATTAGCTTTGAGTTCGATTGAACCAGAAAATCCCTTGAGGACATTCTGTCAACGTGACGATTAACTTGTGTCTCTTGCTTCTTTTTTCACGGTGGCGTTCAGACGGTAAGCTTTGAAGTACCAAAAAGTTCACCAACAAACAAAAATAAGAAAACAAACAATCAGATATTCACCTCCCCCCCCCCCCCCCCCCCC